AGCTGGCGCAGGCGAAAGAGGTATTTGCGGAACTGGATGTCAGCTGGGATAAACAGCACCCGATTCTGCTTGGTGTTGCTAAAGGCAGCGATCGCAAGGCGGGGCTGGAGACGCTGTTTTTTGAAGCGGAAGGTGAGGGCGTTTCTCTGCCGCCGGATTCGCCAGCCCTGCATGTCATTCAGCATATTCGTGATGATGCTCACAATCATGCAATTTCAGGCCACCGTAAAAAACGCGCCAAAGTGAAGAACACCAGCGCGCTGGAAAGTATTGAAGGCATCGGGCCTAAACGGCGTCAGCAGCTGCTGAAGTATATGGGAGGCCTGCAGCCGCTGATGAACGCCAGCGTGGATGAAATTGCCCGCGTACCCGGTATCTCCTTTGCCCTGGCTGAAAAAATATACCACTCGCTGAAACACTAACATTGAAACAGGGGGGGCAATGTAGGAACATACGTTAAACCCTACACACACCAGACAGTTACTGGCATATGCAATATAACATCCCAACGTGTCTTACCCTGTTTCGCGTTTTTTTGATTCCTTTTTTTGTACTGGCGTTCTACCTGCCGTTTTACTGGGCGCCTTTTGCGACAGCGCTGATTTTTGTTATTGCCGCCATAACGGACTGGTTTGATGGCTTTCTGGCGCGTCGCTGGAAACAAACCACGCGCTTTGGTGCATTTCTCGATCCGGTGGCTGATAAAGTCATGGTCGCTATGGCGCTGGTGCTGGTTGCGGAATATTTTCACGCGTGGTGGATAACCCTGCCTGCTGCCACCATGATCGCCCGCGAGATTATTATCTCTGCGCTGCGTGAATGGATGGCGGAGATTGGTAAGCGCAGCAGCGTCGCCGTCTCCTGGATTGGTAAAGTCAAAACCACGGCGCAGATGCTCTCACTGGTTGCACTGCTATGGCGTCCTGATGCTACGGTAGTAGGCGTTGGCGTGGTCGCACTCTATATCGCAGCAGTGCTGACATTCTGGTCGATGTTCCAGTATCTGAGCGCAGCACGCGGCGATCTGCTTGATAGCTGATCGATACGATTCAAAAAGCAGCAAACAGACGCAGTGGGTAATAATTTTATTGACTCACTGCGTGAGATAAGTAGAATGCATCGCATCGAACGGCAGCACAGCTGCAAGAAGCTGAATAAAAACAGTAAGTTCGGTAAAGCAGCAGTTATGCGGGAATAGCTCAGTTGGTAGAGCACGACCTTGCCAAGGTCGGGGTCGCGAGTTCGAGTCTCGTTTCCCGCTCCAGTTTCAGCAATGGGTCACTGACCGGTTGCACATCAGAATAAAGGCGCGTTGGCAGAGTGGCCATGCAACGGATTGCAAATCCGTCTACCTCGGTTCGACTCCGGGACGCGCCTCCAGTTTACACCCTGCCCGGGTGGTGAAATCGGTAGACACAAGGGATTTAAAATCCCTCGGCTTATGGTCGTGCGGGTTCAAGTCCCGCCCCGGGCACCATACAAAACACCGAATTAAAAAAGCACTATAAGTCATGTCGTAACCGCCTTCAGGCGGTTTTTTTGTGTCTGCTGTTTTTCATTCCTGACGCCCCACCGTGCGTGCCTGCATAACCCATCCCAAATCATAATACCTGGATGACAGCCGTTTTGATCTTTCACTGCAAAACAGAACCTGTGCAGGTGACATGATTCATATTTTTCCTGCAGTGAATTGATAAAGCACCGGACAGGTGCTGGCAACACTGCATAGCGTAGTTAATGGTCGATTTATGAAAGTTGTTCTCGAAAAGCCGCATCTATACTTTGTGCCGCATCGCGGATTTCGGGCAAACCAGTCATACACCTTATTGATAAACCCGTTTTTATGGGTTTTCACGCCAGGAGTCTGCGCTTAAAAATGTGATTGCTGCTGCCGGAAGGGAGCCCGGCGCGAAGCCAGTAAAGATATGGAGATGACTATGTTTACTATCAACAAAGCATCCGCGCAGTCTGTGCCTGTTACTCAGCCTCCGGCAGATGCCACTGCACCAGAGGGCTGTGTATCTCTGGACTCATTCTTTGGCGATCCCTATGTCATAGAGCACATGGCGCTGGCGGCGACGCTGAAAAAAAACCCAGGCGGGAACGCTGTTAAGCAATATTTTCAATAAGCGGGATGTCTGTTTTGATTCTGAACAGAAAATAAGAGACGCCGATTACGCGATAAAAGATGGGTTTCTGTATCGTGCCCATTATGCGGATTCTCACACTGTGACGAGCGCGGGGGTAACCCGCAATACGCAGGAAAATGAGGAGGAAAATTTTGATGATTATCTGGCAAAGCTGTTTGAGCATACCGCCGGTCACAGCAGCCAGGGAGCCGTATTATCTTTCAGTAGCCATGAGAAAACAGCTAAAAGTTTTATGGCAGAAGGGAAACTCCTCCTCAAAGTAGATGCTGATAGTGAGGCGGATAAAAACGAGTTTATTTCCGTACCACAACTGATTCTGCAGCATGGCGGGCGATTGCTCAAAGCAGGAAGGATAGACAAGCTAACGCTGCTTTCTGCTCTCGATCAGCTCAACAACAGAGAGCGTGAGTTTTTTTATATTGGCAAACCTCACGGCTATCGATATGGCGAATTACCCCCGTATAAACTGGCTTTGGGTGAAGCGGCGCAGCCGGTTACTACGCATCTTCCGACCCGTGCCCCGGAGCCTGTTGCGGCAGCCGTGGTGCTCAGAGAAGATAAAACCGGTGTAGCCCGCGATCGTATCTGCTATCCGGGAGTCAGCAGCTGCCTTACGATTACTTTCAGACATGAAAATTTTTTTAGCAGGAACGCACTTAACAATAGCCACAGACAAGAAGGCTCTTAAAGATGTACTGAAAGAAATAAAAGCGCTTAACCCGAATAAACCCGTTGAGATTATTGTCGCTTCACCATTTTCTGTTTATAAAAATCGGTGTGGTTGATAAAGAGTTAAATACCCGCTCAAAGTTAAAAAAATCATCGCAAAGACTTTTCCGGATACGCCAATCCGGTTGGTTGACACCTCTGATATACGGTCGTCCCATATTCTGGTCAGTAAAAACGGCATTGAGTACGTAAACGAAAGCAACTTCAGGGTTATCGGTAACCATTGTCCCGATGTGTCAGCCTTCACAAAAATCCGCTCCGCTGAAACCGCTGAAACCGCTGAAACCGCTGAAACCGTCTTGCCGGACAGGCCGACGCCCTTAGCCTCACTGGCGAGCAGCAGCAGTGGTGCGGTAACGCGCTCAGCACTGAGCGCCTGGCTAAAGGAAACTGAATTACCCTCCCGCAGCAGTGAAGAACAGGTATTAAAGGATTTAAAAGAGGCTGGTTTTGCGGTCACCGCTTCTCAGCTGAAAAAAGCCTGGTCCGATGCACTGCCGGGCCATGATGCTGAGCTCGCCTCAGCGCCGGATAACCTCTCTTCTGAGATCGCCTCACCTGAAATAAAGAAATTACGCTCAATCAGAACCCTGACAACGCTGAAACATCAGCACGGAATGCCGAACCAGGATGGGCAGCGCGAACTCAATGCCCTGCTTAACATGGGTCTGCCGCTGGCTGATGTGGCGCGCCATCCGGGTAAAGAGATGCTTGAGACTATTTTAGATAAAGATATTTCCCCTGCCAGCTATCCGCAAATGAGCAGCGAGTTCAGCCAGGCTCTGGCGACGGAATACTTTGTCACGCTAGACGATGCCCTTAAAAGCGAAGAAAACCCGACAGGCGAAGTTACCCAAACCTCACTGCTCGAACCGCTGAAGCAATACCTGCTGGAAAATCGTGGTCAGCAAAATATGCACCCCTGGAATGATGGATTGATCCGCACTTTGAGTACGGCAGGAAAGGATGCGCAGGCTCAGCGAGCTGCGCGCGCATTATCTGCGGAGCTGGAGCGGGAGCCTGACATCGGCACCGCATGGAGGCCCGGCTCGTCTGCGGCGCCATCGCCTCAAGCTGAGCGCATCAGAGGTAAATTGAGTCAGCTGAGTACCTATGAAGGTTTTATGCAGGCAGAGCAGAGGCTGACCGGGCATCTTCTCCGGCGCGACAGAAATATTCAGCAGGACAGAGAAAAGCTGGCACTTAAAGCAAAAGAAGAACGAAAAAACGAAAGGAAGCGGACCGCAAGGCGTGGGACGCCTTCAGGCGCCACATTGATAATATGGTTGCCGGGGGGCAGGATCTCAGGCCAGACATGCCCGTGAGAGAAGCGAAATCGATGCCCGTATCAGCCGGGATTATCATGCCCGCATGGATGCCTGGCAGAGTAAAAGAGAAGAGATGGGGAAGGAACTGCAGGCCATGCTGCAAGCGCTGGCAGCCAAATCCGGAACGGCTGCAGCGCGTAAGATGAGTGTGCCGGCAAT